GGGTTTAAAGGCTGCAGTGATTACTACTGCACTCCAGCCTGAAATGAACATTTCATTCTCATAAACATTTTTAAAAGTTTATTTATTTAGAGACAGAGCCAGACCCTGTCTCTAAATAAACTTTTAAAACAAATTTAAATGTAAATAAATTAGTTAAAATTGTATTCTTTGGCTGGGCGAGGTAGGTCACGCCTGTAATCCCAGCACTTTGGGAAGCCAAGGCAGGTGGTTTGTTTGAGGTCAGGAGATCAAGACTAGCTGACCAACATGGTGAAACCCCGTCTCTACTAAAAATACAGAAATTAGCCGCGCAGGGTAGTGCATGACTGTAATTCCAGCTGCTCGGGAGGCTGAGGCAGGAGAATAGTGAAGGAGGGAAGGAAGGGAGGGAGGAGAAAGGAAGGAGCGCTCGCCAGGTGTAGTGCCTAGGGAGGCCGAGGTGGGCGGATCACGAGGTCAGGAGTTCGAGACCAACCTGGCCACCATGGTGAAACGCCGTCTTTCCGAAAAATACAAAAATTAGCAGGGTGTGGTGATGCGCGGCTGTAATCCGAGCTACTCCGGAGGCTGAGGCAAGAGAATAGCTGGAACCCGGGAGGCGGAGGTTGCAGTGAGCCGAGATTGCGCCACTGCACTCCAGCCTGGGTAACAGAGACTCCATCTAAGAAAAAAGAAAAGAAATAGGCGCTCGGTTAATGCTTGAACAAAAGGAGAACTCCGCACAGACCCTGGCGTCCAGGTCCGTCAAACTCAGCCCTGGGACTCCAGGGCTGGGCACCCTTGAGCGGCAACGTGGCCAGCGATAACAACAGGTTCAGATGCACTGTCAAGCGATTGGTCCAGGCAGCGCCCGGAACCGGTCAGCTGCAGGAAGCTGCCAGCCCAGCTCTCTCGCGCCGGCGCCGGCGCGTCGCTCCCAGAAAGGTCACATCCGGTCGGAGCCCAGCGAGCCGCGGGAGTCGAGCGGGACGCCGAGGGAGGGCGGGATCCTGACGCGCGGGGCGGGGCCTCGGCGGGGCGGGGTAGGGAGGGGCCTCGGCGGGGCGGGGCCCTGACGGGCCAAGCTCCCGGGCGTCTGCCAGCCAGGCCGGCGCTGCAGTTGAGCTGCGTGGTGGCTGTGGCAGGTGAGAGCCTCCGGAAGGGAGGCGGCCTCTGGCCCCGACCCCACTCCGCGATCTCTCACTCGGGCGCCCGGCCGGGCCTGTCAGGGAAGGGCCGCCACCGCCGCCGCGCGTTCACGAGGCCTGGCGCAGCCGCGGGGCCCAGGAATGGCGTAAGGGTCCCCCCAGACCTCGAGACGGCCCGAGCGGGTCGCCGGCTGTGGGACGGCGGCGTGCTCTTCCTTTCCTCCCTCCCAGGTTCGCACCCAAGCTCTGCTAGCTACCCGTCCGACTACTTCCGGACTCCCAGGTAGGGAGGAGCCCGTGTCAGCGCTGCCAGTTACCCCGAACACATGGCCGATGTGCAAAGAGCATCCATCCGGGCCGGGACTCCCTCCCCTGCCTTGTGGGTGCATCTGCTCAAACTCTGTCGGCCCCTCAAGCAGAAATGGTGTGGGATCTCAGCCAAACCCCTCTTGCAGTGACTCAAAGCCGACAGCCCTTCTGGAGGGATGGGGCATGCGGTTGGATGGCCCCTAACCTTTCCCTCCTGTACTGATTCATGCCACCGTGGTGGCTATAGTCCTGCTGCCTTCATCTTTGCCCCTCTACTTTGCTTCTCCCACCCCACTGGTTTTCCTGCCTCCCTCTTCAGAGGTAAGACGCATGGCTGGACCAAGGCCTCCAGGGTAAGTGACCCAAACTTCAAGCCAGCAGAGGCCATATGATTCTGAGCTAGGGATAGGGGAGGCTCCTAGGTATGAACTTGTGACTTAACCTAATCTCTGCTCCCTACTTCCACCTCACCCCAGGCTCAAATGACAGGAGACCAGGGCTAAAGACTGATAGGATCTACAGAGGACTGGGACAAAACAGTGCATGTTAACCTGCTGTGGCCCCTTCCTGGTTGCCCCAGTTCTAGCAGGCGATGTGACACTACGGTGGTCACTGTCCACATTGAGAAGTTGAGGGAGGTGCTGCTGGTCCCTAGAAACACTCATAGCTCCACTGGGAGTTTGAGGCTCTGGTAGGGGTGCATGTGGGCACAGGGAGGAGCCCTGGATGTAACACAGTGGCTCTGTGAGCTCACATTCTGGGACCAGTGGGAGCACTGACAAAAGGAGGAGAAACACCCCATTAGACATGTGGCTCTGACCCACTCCTGCTGCCCCTTCTGTTAACTTCCCTGGGGAGGGAGGACCCGTCCCCAGCAGAACCCTCATCGAGGCACTGCAGGGGCAGGTAGAGTGGTCCAGGGAGCCACAGCCGAATGGCACTCAAGGGCCAACCCTAGGCATTGCCTCTTCATTCCTGAGCGTGGGGCAAGGGTCCCTGCTGAGTTTTACTCTTAGCGTGGGCTTCCAGATCCCCATGCTTCTGGGTTCTTGACTGCGTGCCCTCACCAGCCACCTCTCTGTGTCCCTTACCTCCTCAGGGAGAACCCTGCCATCAAGGAAGGCAGCACGGGACCAGGACCCACCCATGAACCCTTCTCAGGACAACCTAACAGCACCAGTGGGGATGCTCTCCTAAGCCACAGAGAACCTGGGCAGGCCATCCGTCCTCCAGGAAGAGCCATGGTGTTAATGCAGGGCAGGGAGAGCTCTCAGCAGTGGCCTGGTCTGGGAGGCAGGGGTGGTGGCACAGGTCCCGCAGACATGCTCAGAGCTGCCCTGCTGCTCATCAGCCTGCCATGGGGGGCCCGAGGGACAGCCAGCACCAGCCTCAGCACCACTGTGGGCCACACTGTGCCATTGACTGGGGGCCGCTACTTGAGCATCGGAGATGGCTCTGTGATGGAGTTTGAATTTCCTGAGGAGAGTGAGGGCATCATCGTGATCTCTAGCCAGTACCCAGGCCACGCCAATGGGACAGGACCCAGCCCCACCCTGAGGGTCACATCCCTGGATACAGAGGTGCTGACCATCAAGAACGTGAGTGCCATAACCTGGGGAGGTGGGGGCGGCTTTGTGGTGAGCATCCACTCCGGCCTGGCTGGGCTGGCCCCACTCCACATCCAGCTTGTGGTCGCCCATGAGGCCCCGCCCACAGTGATCGAGGAGCGGAGAGATTTCTGCATCAAGGTCTCACCTGCTGAAGACACCCCTGCTGCCCTCAGTGCCAACCTGGCCCACTTCTCGGAAAACCCAATACTCTACCTGCTCCTGCCTCTTATCTTTGTCAATAAGTGTTCGTTTGGGTGCAAAGTGGAACTTGAGGTTCTGAAGGGGCTCATGCAGAGCCCCCAGCCCATGCTGCTGGGCCTCCTGGGCCAGTTTCTGGTCATGCCCTTATATGCTTTCCTCATGGCCAAGGTCTTCATGCTGCCCAAGGCCCTCGCTCTGGGCCTCATCATCACCTGCTCGTCGCCTGGCGGCGGGGGGAGCTACCTCTTCAGCCTCCTTCTTGGAGGGGATGTCACCCTGGCCATCTCCATGACTTTCATCTCCACAGTGGCTGCCACTGGTTTCTTGCCACTGTCTTCAGCCATCTACAGCCGCCTGCTCAGTGTCCATGAAACACTCCACGTGCCCATCTCCAAGATCCTGGGGACCCTGCTGTTCATTGCCATCCCCATAGCAGTGGGCGTGCTCATCAAGTCCAAGCTCCCCAAGTTCTCCCAGCTGCTGCTGCAGGTCATCAAGCCCTTCAGTTTTGTGCTCCTCCTGGGTGGCCTCTTCCTGGCCTATCGCATGGGGGTCTTCATCCTGGCAGGCGTCAGGCTACCCATTGTGCTTGTGGGTATCACGGTGCCCCTGGTTGGCCTGTTGGTGGGCTACTGCTTGGCCACGTGTCTGAGGCTGCCAGTTGCCCAGCGGCGGACAGTCAGCATTGAGGTAGGGGTGCAGAACAGCCTGCTGGCCTTGGCCATGCTACAGCTATCCCTCCGCCGCCTTCAGGCTGACTATGCCTCCCAGGCCCCCTTCATTGTGGCACTGAGCGGCACCTCCGAGATGCTGGCCTTGGTCATCGGCCACTTCATCTACAGCAGCCTGTTCCCAGTTCCCTGAGGCCTCTGGGTCAAGCTTTCGTCAGCCCCAGCCCCCACACTCCACCTACTGTCCCCAGAGTTCTTGTGTACCAAAGGCCTTTAGTTCTCACGCTCTATGCACTCAGAAAAATCCAGGCTTATTTTTTTTACTGATTTTTTTATTCTCCAGCTTTCAGTGCCAAGGAGGCCATGCTGAGTTAGGTAGGTGGGCACTGCCCAGAAAATATATTTCAATAAAAGACAAAGGCAAGCTTGGGTCCCTTCCAATCTTTGCCGTTTGGTGCCTAGGCTTGGGGGTAGAGTGTGCTGGGTAGGTGTGGACCAGGGTGTAGGACCAGCTTGGGTGACACGGTGACCCCTGCACAGGCTTTCTCTATCAGCCCTCCCCGGGCGTATCCACACTCTGGGAGAGGTGGAGGATGAGAGTAGAGGCCTGGCTCCCCTGCCCGCTCTCAAGATCGGTGGGGTGTTTTGCAGCCAGACCAGAAAGGAGGAGGCAGAAACCCAGGGGGCAGGGGGTGGGGGCGGGCCGTCTGTGGGTTTGCAGGGCCCGGCTCCGCCAGCAGTCACGACACGTGGGGTGGTCCAGGCCATCCGCGGGGGTGAGCGTACCTCCTGGCCCTTCCTTCTCCATGCCCCAGCTCCTAGATGACGCCAACCTGGCCCGACTGGTTCTAGCTCCCAGATCCCCCGCACTGTGGCTTTGGGAAGGGTCCGCCGGCTAGGGCAGTCGCTGCGCGTTTGCGAGGCGGGACCCCAGGGGGACTCCTCCTCCCGGGGCGCAATTGGGCCGGGGGGCATGGATGGGGCCTGAACGGGGCAGGAGGGCGGGGCCGGGAAGCGCGGGCGGCGGGCGCGCCCCTCTCGCTGCTTCCGGCGGCGGCGGGCGGATCCGGCGCGCGCCCGGGGCGGCGGCGCGCGGCGCGGGGTGGTTGCGCTGCGCGCCCGCCCGAATGGACGCCGCCGCGGCCGCCATGCAGCTGACGGTGAAGGCGCTGCAGGGCCGCGAGTGCAGCCTGCAGGTAGGGTCCCCGGGCCGGGCCGCCGGGCCCGTCAGTCGCCAGCTCTGGCAGGAGGACCGGCAGGGCCGAGGGCGGGCACGGGGCGGCCGGGCCGGGGGCTGGTAGCCGAGAGAGCTGCCCTAGGTAGCGGACGCGTGGGCTTCGTCGCCCGAGGGCCGCGGGCTCAACCCCTGCCTCCCACCCTCGGCGCGGCCAGGTGCCGGAGGACGAGCTGGTGTCCACGCTGAAGCAGCTGGTCTCAGAGAAGCTGAACGTCCCCGTGCGCCAGCAGCGGCTGCTCTTCAAGGGCAAGGCCCTGGCAGGTACCCAGGGAGAGGAGACACCCAGGGAGCCCCGCAGGAAGCGGGGCTGGGGTGCTCCGGCCGCCTCGGCAGCCGTGTGACGGGTCGGGGTGCCGGCGCCCAGCGCCACTTGACCGCAGGGGAGGCGACCGCATGCTGCACAGCCGAATGCCGCATCGCTCCGCTCCCGCCGCCCGAGGCGGCCTCACGTCCTGGGCCACCCCCACGGCGGCAGGGAGGAACTCATCGAGCTGTCTTTGGCAGATGGGAAACGACTCTCGGATTATAGCATCGGGCCCAACTCCAAGCTCAACCTAGTGGTCAAACCCCTGGAGAAGGTGCTACTAGAAGGCACTGGCCGGAGACTGGCCGACTCCCCACCCCCACATGTCTGGCAGCTGATCTCCAAAGTCTTGGCCCGTCACTTCAGCGCGGCAGATGCCAGCAGGGTCCTGGAACAGCTACAAAGGGTGAGAAGGGCAACCCTGGACATCCTCTCCAGGCCCAGCTGCTCCCAGCCCCCTACTGCCAGCCGCTGAATCTTCCTGCCTTTCTCTCCCCAGGATTACGAGAGGTCCCTGAGCCGCCTGACGCTGGACGACATCGAACGGTTGGCCAGCCGCTTCCTGCACCCAGAAGTGACTGAGACGATGGAGAAGGGTTTCTCCAAATAGCATTCTCAGAGTATGGGGAGGTGCCCAACGCCAGGCCGCGGCTGAACGTCACACAACGTGTGTTCTCCTGCTGTAGTTGGGCTCATAATGATAGCTGCCAGGTACCTGGCTCTGGCTGGGTGCTAGGCACCACTCACAGCCTGACCTGGGTTTGCTTCCACACCCTTGGAAGAGGTGAGCCAGCACAGCGGAGGTGATGCAGTGGCAGAGCCCCAGTTGGAGTCCAGCAGCTTCTGAAAGTGCCTTGATGTGACAAGGAGGAAGGGGCTGCTTGGAGAGCTGAGCTCTCGTGTCATATTTAGCCCACTGAGAATATACACTCAAGCAACTCCCTCCCAAGCCTGAAAGGGGAAGCAGCTGTCACCTGACCTCCGGCGGGTCCAGCATAACCCTCAGCTCACCGCTGCAGGAGGCCAAGTTGCAGCCAGCCCTGGCTCCCCCAGCTGCTACAGCCAGTGTGCGTTCTACAAATGGAAAAGCAGGTTGGGGTCAGGGAGTGAGAAAGTCACCCCAGTTCTGTGATGTGACTTCGGGCAAGTCTCAGTGCCACTTTGCTCCCCAGCCACAGACTCTATACAGTGAGGGCCGCCACTTCCCGATCTGAGTCAGTGTCTGCTGCCCTTACCCCAGCTCGGGGTGGGGAGTGTTAACAGTGCTCTTCTCCCTTCTGTTCAGTAAACAAACTGAAGCCAAAAGCAAAGCATGGCCAAGTGTGACCTAGAGATGGGTGGCCTGGCCTTTGGTGACACAGCTCTTCTCTGGGGCACCCTGTCTGCTTGTCTCCTCCTCCAGGAAGCATTAGGGCTGATGCGTGACTCAGCAAGGCAGTGTCAGAGCTGGGACTGGTGGAGGCGTTCATCCTCATCCCCAGCACTTGCCTCCGTGTGGAAGGCGAACACATCCCGGCCACCTGTGTGCAGGGGCTCACTTCGTATGCTCCTTGTTGCCTGAGAGGAAACCTTGGGGTGCCAAGGCAGGGGCAGAAGCATGGGCTGGGTTCCAGTTCCTCCTCCACCCTGCCCTGCGCGTGGGCACTAGAGGACATCGAAGTGCCTGCTCCTTGGAGGAGGCCCCCTGGTATGGTAGAGGCTGGAAGGAAGCCACAGGCAGGAAGGCACCACTCCTGCCCCTCCACCCTCGCCAAGGGAGCAGCTCAGCATGGTCAGGACTGCACGTGCCGGAGACCCTCCTGCCTGGGCCTTGTGGGCCAAATACTGGGTCCCTGGGCTACAAATATGGACAGAGGCCCAACAGGTGAAGGCATTGAAGAGCACACAAAAGCCCCTGGCCACCCACGAGAGCTGGAAAGCCATGTGGCTTCAAAGCCATATATGGAGGGACACACTTGTGAGCATGTGTGGCCTGCAGCTCAGGTGATACATTTACCAGGGTTCTTGTTTGGTGCCAGGAAATTAATTTTGGAAAGTGAAATAACATTAAAGGTGAATGTGAAACTTCTACTTTGATCCAAAGGAGCTATATTAGCTAGGCTGCTTATGGTATCCAATAATTGGTTTAAAAATAAAGGCAATTTGTTGAATCAGTAAAGGAAATTTCTTGGCTTATGAAAGAAAAAGTCCAGTGGTGTTGGCATTGGCAGCAGGTGAGCAGTTTCACCCAGTATCTTTCTGCCTCCCTCTGCGTTCGTATCTGCTTCATCCCAGGCCATCACCTCCAAGGATGAAAAGATGGCTGCCTGCAGCTTGCACGGAGTCCCTCCCTCCCTGCCAGAAAAGCGCCTTCTCTGTGTAGCACAGCTGCTGTCTCAGATGCCCCAGCAAATAAACACTCTTCTCATTGGTCACAACTGGACTGTGTGTCCAATCATTTTGGCTAGGGTAGGGGGTAATTCTCCGTCAGGGCTGTCTCCCTGAGCTAGGCACGGGGCCACTTCACTGGACACACATGGGCTGTGCAAGAGACAGAAGGCTCTGGGGGAGGGCTGGATGAATGGATGTCCTCAATGGTGGCTGCAAATGGCAGCAGTCTACTACAGAGGCCATGCATGTGTCAGAAAGATCAGGGTCACCTTGGAGGTAGTGGAGGAGAGGGCTGGAGGCATCAAAATCACAGAGGAAGCATCAGGGAGGGCACAAGAGGGAGGAAACATTGCAGGGATGGGAGATGGGAAGTGGGGGGACCATTAGAGGACACTGTGGAGACTGCATGAAGATGGAGCAGCCACAGGCTCCAGCCCCCAAATGCTGAGATCCTTTAACAGGAGTCAGAATGTTTACTGCAGGTGCTGCACCCCTCTGAGCCAATTGTCTACTCTGAGAGGTGGTGCTGGGTCATCCACTACCCCTTGTCCCTCAAGGAGGGGCCTCGGGACAGTTCCTGACCCCTGCAGCCATGGTGTGTGTGTGACTATGATGACATCAGGAGATGGCAGCATGAGTGAAGGGCCCACGGCAGGAAGAGCAGCCTCAGAGGACAGCAGCATTTGCCTTGGGGTGGGGAGGCTCCCTAGAAATAGATTAACTGTACCCACAGTTTGCTAGCACCTTGCAGGTGTCCCATGTGGGCCTCGCCAGCTCTAATAGATCTGCTGGGGCCTGGTACTCCCAGGAGTAGATGTGGCAGGCAGCTGTGACCAGCCTTGAGCCTCCCAGCCCTGAAACGCCTTCAGGAGAGACGAGACACCCAGCAACTGCCCTGTCCTCCTCCAGCGCACACCCCTTGGGGCCCCACTGAATGACTGGCAGGCCACTCCTCACCCTCTTTCACCCTTGCTCTCCTGCTGTTTCCACTGCTTGCTCATTCTCAGGCTCTCCTGCTGGTTCTTCACACACACCCCAACCCTCAATGTTGCAGCCCCAGGGCTCTGTCCCTGAAGCCCTTCTTTTCCCTCTCTGTATCACTCCTTGGGGGAGCTCATCCAACTTAAGTTTCTATTTCTGCGCTTCACTCCCACGTCTATGTCTCATCCCAGCCCTCTTTCCTGAGCTCCAGCCCATGTCGCCCAGACAGCGCCTGCTTTGCTGCAGACAGCCTGCTCATCACTGAGTGCCCACTGTGTCCCAAGTGCTGGCAACCCTGAGACTGGAAGACACAGTCCCTTCCCTCTTGGCACTCATGCCCAGCACTCCTCAGCACACACATTTTCTCCATGCCCACCTGACTGAAGGGCAATGCCACTCAGCCAGGCTTCTGAGGGAGCAGGAGGCCATCTTCGCCTCTCCCAACTCCATTCTCCACGGGCAATCAGGCAAGAATATTTTTGGAAGCATCCAGGGCAGTTGATACTGTATCCTTTCCTCCTTTGACCATACTCGCCCCCAGGCACTGCATCAGGAGGCAGGCAGAGTCAGGCTGCCCCAGTGTTGGGGACACTCAGTTTTGTCACATAATCCAGGTGGCAGCTGCCAGATCTCTCCCCTGTAAAGATGCAGTTTCCCTTCCTGATTCACGGGTAATTTGGGGTAATATTTGGAGACTCTGTGAATATCCTGTCCCCAACAACCTTTCATTTAATGGTTTTGCCATACAGTGATAATCCTTGCCTGAATCAATGTGTTGTGTGTGTGTTTTGTTTTGTTTTTTTTGAGACAGAGTCTCACTCTGTCACCAAGGCTGGAGTGCAATGGTGTGGTCTCAGCTCACTGCGACCTCTGCCTCCCTGGTTCAAGAGATTCTCCCGCCTCAGCCTCCTGAGTAGCTGGGACTACAGGCATGTGCTACCATACCCAGCTAATTTTTTTTGTATTTTTAGTAAAGACAGGGTTTCACTATGTTAGCCAGACTGTTCTCAAACTCCTGACCTCGAGATCCACCCACCTCGGCCTCCCAAAGTGCTGGGATTACAGGCATGAGCCACACTGCCTGGCCATCCTGAATCAATTATTAAGTTAATAACAAATTATTACATTGGTGGTTGCAAAAATGGTAATTTTCTGATACTTTTTTCTACACCTATTACTTGCCATTTCTCTATAAAAAACCTTTCCTTTTTCTCTTTT